TCTCTCTCTCTCTCTCTCTCTCTCTCTCTCTCTCTCTCTCTCTCTCTCTTTCTCTCTCTCTCTCTCTCAGAATACCTTTAACATACATGTGATCCATTAAATATGAGGCAAAGTTAAACACAAGGGAGAATTAAACCTTTGAGCATGTAGATGTAATCAAATGAAATTGTTATACAACATATTCATTTGAAATAACAAAGTACTCTAATTTAGAAATATCACTATCATTTTCAAATTTTATGTAATAATCTTAATTGAGCTCTTAAAAATTTGCTTTGTTGAGGATAATTCATCTGTCATATAATTCATTCATTGAAAGTACCTAGTTCATAGTGTGGCTGTCTCCACAGTCTGCTTTAGGACACTCTCACCATCATTGACAGACATGATGAGTATTTAAAACTTAGAAGATTCTGTTTTGTAACACTGTATCACAATTCTTGGGTTACAGAAATGGGGCGGACTTAAGTGCCCTGCATGCTTGAGTTTGCTAATCTACTTGCCTGGGCCCCAGCATCTTAAACTGTGGGTCCTGTAACTGAATGTGGGGGTTATGAAAACTTAAAGTACAGTAAAAGATTTCTGAAATGCAAAACATAATTCTAAATCAAATGAATGATGAATCTGCACCTCTTGTAGCACTTGAATCTATTGAGCTGTGGGTGACATCACTGAGTTCTGAATGCAGTGTCTCCCTGTGTGTGTGTGTGTGAGTGTGTGTGTGTGTGTGTGTGTGTGTGTATGTATATGTATGTGTATGTGTATATATGTATGTGTGTGTATGTGTTATAAATTCCACTGGAAACACCCAGGCTCATAACTCATAATCATGATATATTGTATGTATGAATTTTTTTATTGTATATACAATAAAAAAAAGTTTTCTTCTTGTAAGTTTTCTTCTGAGGAAACAATAAAGAAAACAAGGACAATATTTTTCTACCATATTTATCTTACTGGAATGTTAGATTTTAAACATGCTGTTTGAAGAGCTGGGTGAGGTGGTACATGTCTGTAATCCTAGCACTCAGGAGGCAGAAGCAGAAGCACCAGCCACAAATTCAAGGCCAATTTTGTCTGCATAGTGAGTTTCAGACCAGCCTGATTTACATAGTGAGTTTTGGGCAAGCCAGGGTCTCAAGAAAAAAAAAAATTGCTTAAATTTTGTCTGGAGTTTTATTTAAAAACTTGTTAAATGCTGTTTACCTCACGATTATGGCAGAATTTTCAATGATTTCTGAAATGACTGTAGATGTTTTGCTGCTATTTTGTCCTCTGTATTTATGTGCACTGTTCTCAGCCCTGAAGATTTCAAATCAAAACATCAATCAACTCTGCAAAACATTTTAAAGCATTCTCTTTTACATTATCAAATATTCATCAAAGATTTCTTTATGTAAAATCAAATACAAGTATTATGGTATAAAGTTCTTTAAATGTCAAAGTTGTGTTAAACTAAATAATTGTTTTAAAACAATTATGATTCATCAATAATGTTTGATTTGTAAACTTACTTACCTACATAGCTGGGATCATATGAAAACTTCTCTGGTAAAATGATTACGAGTGCAACAAGTTAAACGCTCTGTTCGCACAGCAGAGTTAGAGGCTCTTTCTCTATAACCAGGCATTCTCTTCCCCTAAGATACAGGATGTTAGGCGTGGAAGAAAGCATTGATTATCTCTAGACTGTTACATGCTAATTAATCAAAATGATGCTTTCTGGAGCCATTATACAGTTTCTGTCTTGCTTTTTATAGTAAGGCTAGCTTGATGTGTTTAAACTAGATTCCAATATTGTTTCTCTCATGACATGTTTCCATTATAAAAGAAACTATAAGAGATGATGTTTTAAACAACAGTTGATTTGATACAGATTTTTATTTTTCTTCAAAATATCTACAGCAGAATGTTTTCTTCACATTTTCCTGTGTAAGATTGGAGTATGCTGATCTATAGCCATTAGACTAAAGAGGTAGAATTTTAAAAGGGGATTTTTTCCCCCAGAAAACTGAATAATATTATTGTCATCTTCTTTTAAAAATATTTAGAAATTTTTTTCATATTTATGCAGTCATTTAGTGTCACACTGTGTGTAAGGACCACACTATACATAATAATGTTCATTGTGAAGCTGCTATGTCTGTCCATGTACTGTGAGATTAGGAGGGTATCAGAAGCATACGTGCTGACATTTTAAGACTTTTTATAGTGGTAAAATTTCATTTTAGTAACTGCAAAGAATGTGTATCTTGTATAAGGAAGCAGTTATTTTATCTTGGAAGATGAATTAATAGTTCTTATGTATGTAATTAGAACAATTTATGATGAAAACATACCTTTTCTCTTCTGCAAACCTTTAATTGTAGATTGTTTTCCTATAGCCCACAGGCAGTTGTTGACTGGGTAATAGGCTGAAGCTGATTCTAGCCCTGGGTTGGCTGTGGCACAAGTAGTGGCAGTTCAAAGCCAACCTAGGTGACATAGTATCCAGACCCTGTCTCATCAAAACAAAACTCATCTGTTCATTTTCATTAAATACTAGTGATTTTTCTAACCTTTGCTTCTTTATTGGATGAATACCTTCTAAACCCAATCTTACCTCTAGGCTTCTTCTAAAACACTGCCCAAAATAATTCATTAATAGTAAAATGCTCTAGGAAAATATGATTGGTTTCAACTTATTTATTGACTAAAACTAAGACTCAGTATTCTTTCTTTTTTAGTTCTTTTAGACAATATAACTTATATAAATTAATTAATTGATTTATATAAAATTCTAATATTTTGGCTAGGCTTAGAGTTTTATAAGATATCACTTACATTCTAATGAGTGTTTTTAGAACTGTGCTGTCTGTCATTTACTTTGAAACAGTGGTATCTTATTTTTGTAGTGTTAAGATGGAAATTTATAGAACACGTAGCATATACAGCAGCATTTATGGCAGAGGTGCTGGCTTATGTTGGAGACTCAGCAAAAAGAGAAATGTCTTGGTTAAATAAGTTGAAGATGCCCCGTGGAATATAGTAGCAGTTGCTAAGTCTCAGCATCACTCACTAAGTGGATCTGCTCTCCTCGCAGAGCGGGAGCTGTGGGAGCTGTGCAGCAAGTGTAACCTGATGAGGCCGAAGCGCTCCCACCACTGCAGCCGCTGTGGCCACTGTGTGAGGAGGATGGACCACCACTGTCCTTGGTAAGGAGACACTTGTCACCGCTTGCACACAGCATGTGAGTGTATTGGTGCACATCTCTGATTCCAGCACTCAGGAGCTGCGGCAGGAGGATTAATTAAGGAAAAGACAGTCTGAGAACCTGTCATCGTTAAGCAAAAATTACATTAAAGTTACTCCTAATTCTTTCAATAAAAATGATTCTTGCAAATCCCAGAGTAAACTATAGAGTTCTTATCCCTGCTACCAAGAAAACATTTGAGCAAGAACTCTGAGTAGAAAAAATTGAGCAGAATTAACACATACCCAAATACACAGAAGGACTAAGGTGCTTCTATCAAATGAGGCTTAGAGGCCGAGTGTTTGGTACAGTCAGATGTGTGGAAGCACTTACCTCACAGCTGTTTCTCTTGTCGGGGAGAAAACCAGGATGTGTACTGCTTAGATTCCTCTTCCTTACTCAGGTGAAGAACTACACTTTTCAGACTTGGTGATAACTCTTCTGCTCGTTATGCCTTTCATAGTGTTTTCTGTTGGATAGTAACATTTTGTGCATGTTGGATATATGTAAGTGCTGATTAACTTTCTGTAGAACTGCCAATATATTTGGTCAATAGGGGGCTCTGTTGTAATATTTAAAGTCATTCTGTTAAAAAGTAGATTTAAAAAATGCTCTGAGAATCGATTGTATTTTACTTCAAAGCTGTCACAAAAAACTTTGAGCAAGATATTATATTTAATTCTGCTTATCTGACATTGAATCTTGTTTAAATATTTAAATTGGTATAACATAGAACTTTATAAATATATATATGCATATATATATCTGTTTATACATGCATGCATGCATATATATATGAAGTTAACCGTATAATAGTCTTCTTTAACTTTCATCCATTCACCTGCAGCTGGCCAAAGAAGACAGTTTACCTTTGTCTAATGATGCTAGTCAGTTTCATTTCCCTTATATATGATAACTCATTTTGACAGCATTACTAATTAGCAAGCTTTTAGTTGAAATTATTTTTTAACTATAAACTGTTAATTTACATAGATTTCCAGAGACTAAAAAAACAGAATAGCATTTTAAATAAAAGCACTTCAGGTTTTTTAATTGTCTAAATCTAGTATAAAATACTGTATACTATGCCATACACTGTTTAAAAAATGTACCTTACATTTTAAATAGATAACTTTTCAAATAAATTTTTAAACCTCAGTGGTACTTACAGTCACAATAATAGCATATGAAAAATGCTATGTGAAACCTGCAGGTAATTAGTTCTCACACTGAAAATTCATAGCACTTTTTTTGTATTAGTTTTCCTAATCAACTAAACAGATAAACATTTATGGTACAGCTGGGTATTGTTGCTTCCTTACAAAAAAGAATGCCATAATTAAAAACAATCATCTGGGGAATGTGTCTGTTAGTACTAGTAATAAATGTCTAAGAGGTAAAGACTAGGTTGTTGGTAAGGAAATGAAGCTCCCTTTAACTTAAAGTGTAACGTTGAGATATTTCTGTTCTTAGGCTTGTGTCTGTTTCAGGGTATTGATGGGAGATTAGTGAGGAAGGTGGCCTGGTCTAGATTTGGGGATTTCTCTGATTGAATTTTCTAGCAGTGTGCTGCTGAGGTCCAAGTGAGGGCAGTACATGATATTAATTTGAAGCAGAGGATTCTTATGTTTTAAGAAACTGCAGCATTTTAACGATCTCAGCTTCAGGTCTGATCTGATGGCCCGTAGCTCTCGGCTGCCTCAGGTCTTTGTTTTTGTCTCTGACTGTTCTTTCTGAATACTTTAAACTCAGGCACCTGCATGCTTAGTGAGGGCTCTTAGCCTTTCAGGACTAGATTCTGTTTCTGAGCAACAATATGTGCTGTGTTGATCTAGAGCCAGCGGAGGAGAGGAAGGATGGGTAGCAATAACTGAGCAGAGTTTTGAGGCTTGAGTGAGCCACTTCTCTTAGAGTCTCTATTGCAGGTGACAGGGCTTAGAATTGTCCTGTTTACCAAGTGTGTGCTCCGTAATCTCAGATAAACCTCCACAAGCATTCCAGCTCAGTTCTATTTTTGATTTTTAAAAAATAATGTAAAACAATATATCTTAAAAGTAACAATTTAAGCTACAAATTGAACTTGCCTTGTATATATATGCATTCCCTCCTTTGGTGATAGTGTAGCCCTATTTTGAAGGAAAACGTTCACATAATTTTGAGAAAAATAATTTTATATTGAAATTTTAAATTAGATTTTTAATGATATAAAAACCTTAAAAATATACCCATTTTGTAAAATAGGATATGCATTTTAAATGAACCTTGATGATTTATGATTATAGATTTTCATTTTTATAGTTAGGCTTCACTGTTGTTTTGACAGAGAGTACATGTAAGTGGTTTTGGATACATTTTTAGTTTCAGCAGCCAAGGATAGATATTTCATAAAGGAAACATATGAAAATAAAATGGTGAGCCTCACAGTTCTGTACAAGTGGCAAGTCTGAGCTGTCTTTCTCTAAAGTATTCAGGTTGCTGTCCTCTGCTAGAGTGCTACAAGGAAGGGCAGAGTCCAGAGAAAGGCTCTTCTTCTGAGTATCCTCGGGCCAGTGGCCTAAATCCATTCTGACACAGGGCACGGGGCTACTGTGAGCTAGAGGAGTATAGTCTCTAGCTAGCCTCCTTGAGAAAGGAGAAGGCACGTTAAAATGTGTATCTCTAAATAGTCGGATTTTAGCTTTAGGTGCTACTTACCTTCATGATCCTGATGTGAGCATCCTACTAAACCTTAAATGTTTCTCTTTCATCTTCCCTTTAGGATAAACAATTGTGTGGGTGAAGACAACCATTGGCTCTTCCTGCAGTTGTGTTTCTACACTGAGCTGCTTACTTCCTACGCACTGATGTTTTCTTTCTGCCATTATTATTATTTTCTTCCACTAAAACAGCGTAATTTGGTAAGACATGTTTATATCTACTAATGCTAGCGCAGCTGTGCCGTAAGTCGTGGACATGGTCGTCCATTGAGTGCAGGCAACCGTAGCAGTGACAGCCTCAGACCAGCGAGCTGTGCACTGCCCTGGGCTTGAGAAAGTGCTCTGTTGTTCTCTTGGACAAGTCTCTTTGTAACTATTTGTGTTGAGTAGATTTCTTCAGAAGACAAAACATGAGCTTTTTCAGTATAGGAGTCTTGGTTTAAAAGTAACATAAAATAATGAAAACAAAGGAAAAGTATAAAAAAATCTTAGGTTTTTCTTTTTAAAATAAAATCAGACAGGTTTGTTTATTTTACTATTTTAAAATTTTTTTTATACAATTTATTTTGCATATTCTTTCTTTTCCTACTTCTCCCAGATTCTTCCCACCAAAATTCATCCTCCCCTCCCTTCCCCTCCCCTCCTCTCCTCTCTTCCATCCCCTCCCCTCTCCTCTCTTCTCTTCTCTTCTCCTGTCTCTCTGTCTCTGTCTCTCTCTGCCCCCCCCAAAAAAAAACAAAAGCAAAACACCAAGTCAACAAAACCCAAAGTCAAAAAACACCAAACCATAACCAAAAAAGAGGACATAAAACGTGGAGTGTTGGTCAGCTATGCTAAGCATTATGTCTGTCCTGGAGTGTGGGAAATAAATTAGTTACATTTCTTAAGGTTCTCAAAGAATAGTTAACATTCGAGAAGAGGACTCTTTCTTTTTGTTTTTGTATTTTATGCCTAGATCTCAGCATATAGCCTAAGGTAGCCATGAACTCTTTGCCTCCCCGTTCATTTCTCGTGAGTGCCAAGATTATAGGTATGTGCCACCACATCTGGCCTCTGCCTCCACCTCTCCCTAGCAGAAAGATGAGTTTGTAGAATGTTCTAGAGCAGTTGATTCTCAACTTCCTAGTGCTGTCATCCTTTAGTATATTTTCTCATGTTGTGGTGACCCCCAAGTATGAATTTATTTTTGTTGCTACTTCATAACTGTAATTTTGCTACTCTTATGAATCATAATGGAAATATCTGTGTTTTATTTTAGTCTTTGATGGCCCTCATGGAAGGATTGTTTGATGCCCCCCCCCCCCCGGGTCTTAGCTCATAGGTTGGGAACCTGTTATTTTTTAGGTATAGATCATTTGAGCAATGCTCAGACTTGTCTAAATGGTGTTAATGCTAGCAGATCCAGAGCCTTTGGTCCCTGACTCTGTCAACACTATACTATGGCCTTCTCACTGTAGAGGTTCTAATATTCACAAGAGAAAATGAAGGATAGTGGAATGGGTGAGGTACTGCACATAGAAAGTACACAGACTGGGTGATTTCCCAACTGGCTTTAGTTACGGAGCTGGTTTAAACACAGTTTATGCTATTTTTTCATTTTATTTTGGCCTTGGTTATATTTTTTAAAGAATATCCTCTCTCTCTCTCTCTCTCTCTCTCTCTCTCTCTCTCTCTCTCTC